ATCCTGTTGAAACCTAATTTGCATCACGTCCCTCCTCTGCTCAAAGCTCTGGCATGGCTCCCATCTCAGAGTAAAATCTCCAGACTCTTCAGAGGCCTGTGAGGTCCTCCTCCACCTGGCCCCCATAATCTCTCTGTCTTGATAGCCAATGCATCCCACTTCACTCTCTCCTCTGCAAGCACACAAGCCTCCCTGCTATTCCTGAAACAGGCCATGCATTGGGGTGACAGAAATATAAGTGTGACCTGTGGAAACACCAGAAGCAAGAGAAAGAAGCCTTCTTCTGAAAGTCCTCTGCACTGCTGTCGGACATTCTGTGTGTGCCCCATGCTGCCCCTCTACAATCAGGACTGAGGAACAGTCCATCATTCCATGGAAGCTCAGAGTTGATCTGCATGTCACTGGGGAGGTGCCATAACAAAACCACAAACTGGCCCCAGAGCAGCACAAACCTTTTTCTCCACCCTCTTGGCCCCAGCTAATCAAGTAAGAACCCCAAAACCTAAGGCCTGGATGGAGACTTCACGTTGGATCAGTGTCAGATACCCTGTAGGTGAAGCAGAGGCGGGAGAAATGAAGAACATGCCTTCTTCTCCCTGGATGTTGAGGGACTGGGTACCAGTGCCCAAGAACATAACAATGGCATCTGTGAAGAGGCCCCAACGAAAAATGCCCCCTTGGGAAACAGATAGCCATGCTCTTCCTTATAACTTTGCAAAGAAGTATACGTGGCTCTGATCAAACAGGACTTAGGTTCAAACCCAGCAAACATTTATTAAGCCCCTACTATGTGCTGGGCCCTAGGCAAGGTGCTTTCACTTTAATTCTGTTGTTTATGTAGCAATTATCGAGCATCTATGCTGTGCCAGGAGTCCACAGGTGGTGCAAACAGCTAAGCACACGGCTACTAACTGAAAGGTTGGCAGTTCAAATCCACCTAGAGGCACCTCAGAAGAAAGGCCTGGCAATCTGTTTCTGAAAGGTCACAGCCATGAAAACCCTATGGAGTAGTTCTACTGTGCACACGTGGGGTCACCATGAGTTGGAGTCAACTTGACAGGAACTCGTTTGGCTTTATTTATTTTTTATTTTATTTTTTAGTTTACGCCGTGCCAGGCCCTCATCCAGGCACAATGGATGCACCAGGACACAGAACCAAGATTCCATCACCATGGAGCTTACACAGTGGTGGGTAGAGTAGGCCCTACTATTATCTTATTTTACAGAGGAGGAAACTGAGGCACAGAGAGATTACGTAACTTGTCCACAGTCATACAGCTGGCTGCCGAGTGGCAGAGCCAGGATCTGAACCCAGGGAGCCTGGCTCCAGTGATTTAGCACCTCTGCCACACCAGCTGATGCTATCACAGTTAACCCTCACAATAAATTTATTCCAACTTGTTATGGAGACTTAGGGTCAGCGCAGACTGGACTAACCACGAAGGGAAGCTGGAACAATGAGGAGCACTGCACCCTGCCCGTTGGCCTCAGAGGATGTGATGGGGACTTGAAAGTAGATGACTTTTGATTCCCAAGAGTTACATATCGTCTGTTCCTTCCTTCAGTCTCATACGGCAATTCTCACACTTCAACGTGGAGAAGAACATGCGAAACTAGAACCAGCTTCAGTGGACAGTTTAGGGGTTTCCGAGGGCAATTTTGGGCTACGCGTGTGATTTTTAATCGTTACTGCCTCGAGAACTCATTTCCCTAGAAGGTGCATCCCCAGTGGAGTTCTGTTTAGGATTTTTGAAGTTTTGCTGAAAGGTGAGACGAGGTTGCCAGAGAAGAGAGGATCAGAGCCCACCAGGACCCAAGCTCAGGGAGCCAACAGCGGGCTAGGCCTCCAGAAATACCACCCCCATGGCCCTCCCTAAGACGGAAATCAGGTTTCCACATTGTGTTAGGATGGGGAGGAACTGAAAGTAGGGTAGAAGCTTCAGTCTGGAGCTGAGAGGTCTGTGAAGTCCACTCTCCGGTTTGGTTCAAGACATCTCCTGCCTCCTGAGGCATCTGGGCCCTCCTCAAAGCATGATTCTCTCAGCCTCTGCTTTCTGTATTCTTATATAAGTTACTCCAAGATTCCCAGAGGGCACCTTATCTCCCACCACCTCCCATCCACTCAACTCCAGTGACAGTGTCCTTCTCTCTAAGCCTTGAAGACACCAGGCTTATTCCTACCTCAGGGCCTTGGCATGTGCTGTCCTGCCTAGATTTTCAGCTCCCAAAAATGTACGTGGTGGCTCCTTCTCACTCTCTTGGTCTCAGCTCAGAAGTCACCCTCTCAGATGGGCCCTCCCTGGCCACCTGATTTAAAGCAGCTCCCTCCTCCCCATCACTCTATATCCTCTCTCCTGATTTTATTTCCTTCCGTAAAGTTTCCCCACTTAATTGCCTTGCTCACTTACGTTCATTACTGGACTACTGTCCCAGTCTCCCCACCACCTCTTAGCTCACTGAAAGTTTCCAGAGCAAGGGCTTCAACTCTTCTATATATTTTATTCCCATCTCCCGTAACAGCATCAGGCACACTGTAGGTGCTTAACAAATATTTGCTGACTTGCTGAATGGGTCCTAGTTGATGCAGTGCTGAGTCTCGATTCCTCATCTATAAACTGGGGATTATGAAACCTACCTGCAGGGCAGATGGAAGGATTTAGTAAGATGCTGCAAGTACAGGGCTCGGAACACTGCCTACACACAGTGAACTCTCCATCAGTGATCTTTATTACCCCAAGCACCATGCCCAGCACAGGGAAGGGCTCGAGACAAAAATAAGGCCGGCTCTCTGCCCAACATTTGAAGGCTGGCCTTGAAAATGACTCCACACCACAGACAGCCTCTCTCTCTCCTCCCTGCTCTTCTCGAGATTTCCAGAGAGCAACATTCCTGGCGGTGAGGAGGCTGTGGCAACACTAGGGTTGGTGTCACCCAGAGTGGTAACTCATGGTGTCACTTCTCCATGGACCTCCTCCTGTACCAGCTATAAAGAATCCTTAGTAATGATTTTTGTACTAATGTTACTCATAAACTGTAATTCCCGTAAGGCACTCCTTCTTTTCCTTTAATTACTACTTCATTCTCAAAAAATTTATGATACAGGTTCACAAATACTAATTACAATAGTGTAGCTAAAATACCAGAAAATTTGACAAAATCAGCGACTATAAAAATACCGGCAGCAACGAAAACAGTACATGCTTGTAGTGTGTGCAGATGAAATCAGATGATTTGAAGCATCATTGTAATTGGGTAATAATGACAGCTCTGACGAGATGCATTAGAGGGTTCAAAAAGTAAAATTAGCATAGAGTTCTAGCCTTGTAGGTAGACTGATATATGTAAGCTGGGCTTACGAAAAATGTTTTTGTTCTTATAACTAACTACAGGGATATTTTTATAGACAGTCATTTTGGTGTCACTCCCTCTGACAGCAACCAGTGCAGTCCACACCCCCATACTCTCCCAGTGACACCACTGGGAGGGGGCACTAGCCCACCTGGGCCCCTACCCAGCCCTGGCAACCTGGCAGAGGCCCAGGCAGAGGCCCTCAGTGCATACCAACTACCAGCCTCGGTGCCTGGCGCTGGGATCTCCACCATGTCCTGCATACTGACGTTTGAGCAAAGAACACAAACACATTAAATAAACGTTACGGTCTTATTGACAGGAAAAGGAGCGCAGAGGAAGAGCCTCCATAAGGAAGGCGCTTGGCTAGAGCCCAAAGCCCTGTAGCCTCCTGGCTGTCGGCATCAAGACCCTAAAACACAGGGGAACTGCTCTGAGGAATTATATTCTCAGTCCCGGGGCAACCACGGGGCGCACTGCAAACAGTGTTCAGAGAGAAAGTTTAAAACACCATTTCTCAGAACCTCTTTTTTAAAAATTACAGTCAAGGTGTTGGGGAACCCTGTTTATTTTGCCTGCCCAGCACCCCTGTCTCCTTTCTTCTGGTTAAATACCCTAATGATGAAGTCCCAGGTGATGCAAACAGTTAATGTGCTCAGCTGCCTAACTGAAAGGTTAGAGATTCAAGTCCCCCCAGAGACGACTCAGGAGAAAGGCCTGGAGATCTAATTCCGGAAGTCAGCCATTGAAAACCCCATGGAGCATAGCTGTACTCTGACACACATGGGGTTGCCATGAGTCAGAAACTGACTCCATGGCAACTGGTAATGGTACTATCGGCAACTACCCCTCCCCCACTGGCTAAGTCTTCATGAGGCTATCAATCACGTGCTCCCTCCCTGGAATATGAACCTTGAGGGGAAGGATACAAAGGATGGAAACGGCGAGGATCCCCTTCTTCATGGAGGCTGCACTCTGAGTCCTTCAGCTTCAATTCTGTGACTATCCACACCCTTCCAGTATATTCCTACTCTGTGTAAGTTAGCCAGGGCCAGATTCTGATGCTTGCAACCCAAATCCCACACTGCAAAAGGTTCCCTGTGGAGCATGGAGTCAGGAGTCCTGGCAGCTGCATGTGACTATGTGCCTGAGTCTGGACCAATGGGAAGTAAATCATCTCTAATTTAAAGAGAAGTTCCAGAGCTTTCTCTCTTCCCCTTTTCTAGGGGCAAGAACAGAGGCCTGGCATGACCCAGTTTCAACTGGGGATGATGGAGCAATAAGATAGAGCGAGTGTGGGTCCCAATAACTTATGGAGCAGGGCTGTCCTCCAGCACAGGCTGTCCCCTCTATTCTGCTATATGAGGGAGAATTCACCTAGCTTATTTAAATCACTTTTTATTACAGCAGCTTAGCCTGTATTATAATATGCAAAGCACAGTCAAAAACAAAACAAACAATACAAAAGCCTTCAGGTACTTGAGGAAGGGACACAAAGCCCCAAAAGAACCAAGCCCCTTCTTTCAGCTTCTAAGAAGCCTCCTTGTTCTGGGTAGGGCAAGAGAGAATGGTATCTCAGAGGCCAGCCCTCCCTCCCACCAGCCCTCGACCCTCCACCCCCCAGCCTGCCAGGCCGAGGCCAGAGAGCTCACCTTCTTCTCGTCCCCATCTTGAAGGAGGTGCAGGGTGCTCCTCCGGTCACCCTCACGCTGCCTCAGGGAGCTGCTGTGGGGCTGGGGCAGGCTCGAAGGCGGGGAGGTGCTGCGGCCTTGTGGGTCTACCCAGGTGTAGATGTGGTTGGTGACATAGGTCCCCGGGATGCGCCCTGCTGAGTACACGGACAGCAGCAGCTTCTTGGAGCCCTTCAGAGCCTAGAGAGAGGGACACACGGGTTAGTGGGAGATGGGGGAGGCGAGCGACACCCTCCCGTTATTCAGAACCTTGCTTCCTCCCAGGACTCCACACATGGAGCAGGAGGCCAGCCCCTAAGTCCCTTCCCTCATCTAGCCTTCGGTTTTGCCCTGAGGAAAGGGCAACACCTGTCCACCCATGTCTTGAAATGGTTCAAACACAAGAAACATGATCTCTTAGCATACCTGTGCAGAAAGAGTTAGCATATCAGGCCTGTGACTATTACCCTTAGGAAGTCCTGCTTACAAGGTTGGTCCCTGGCTTGAGTCTAGGAACTCGGATTTGTGGAGTGCTCCCACCATTCCTTAATTAAGCAGCTCAGTATGCCTAGACTGTTTGTGCAGACAATGTGGTTTATGCTGAACACCTGTTTTCCTCTAGGAGTCTGGAATGTTGGTACAGGCAGAGGGTGCCTACGTGACCAGGCCCTAGTAAAAACCTAGGTGCTGAATCTCTAACAAGCTTCCCTGGTAGATAGCACTGTGTATGTGTCATCACAATTCAATGCTGGAGAAATTAAGCACATCCATGGGACTCCACTGGGAGAGGACTCTCAGAAGCTTGTGCCTGGTTTCCCCGGGCTTCACCCCACGCACCTTTTCTTTGCTGATTTTGCCCTGTGTCCTCTCACTGTAATAAATCCTAGCCATGAGTATGACCGACTATATGCTGAGTCCTATGAGCTCTTCTAGAGAATCACTGAATCTGGGGGTCGTCTTGGGGAACTGACACAATACCAAACAAGAGGGTCAAGAGATAAAGATATTGTTAATAGCAACAGCTTAAACATTTATAAAAGGGCCTACAGTGTCGGGGCCTCTATTCTACACCTGACATGCGTTAGCTCATAAAATCTTCATGGAAGCCAGTCCTGTGGGCAAGGGTCCTGTTATTCAGATGAAGAAATGGAGGGAAATCACTTTCCCACATAACTAGTTAGGGGTTCCTTTCTCATAGTAAGTAATTCTGAGTATAGATACCACCTTTATCCTACATTTTCCCACCTGAGGACAGAACAACCACAAAGAAAGGTAAGTCTGAACTCTGTGTCCTGGGGGAAAGCTGAGATGCCCTGTCTTACTTTCCCACAATGCACCTGGAGCTGAAATGTGGGCGTTTATTCAGGGACACAGAAGTGTCTCTTGGAAGTCCGAGTCCACCCAGAGGCTCCTTGGAAGAAAGGCCTGGTGATCTACTTCCAAAAGATCAGCCATTGAAAACTCTGTGGAACACAGTTCTACTCTGACACACACGGGGTTGCCATGAGTCAAAACTGACTTGATGGCAACTGGTTTTTTATTTAGGGAAACATTTCCCTTAGCACAAGGGTTAACAGCAAACATGTCCCACAACTGGGGGCTGTTGGAGTAAGTGATGCTATCTACACATACTGAAATTTCATGCTTCCATTAAAATCATATTTACAAGGAGTTTGTAATGGCATGAAAATGTGGATATATTTTAATGTTAAGTGGGGTCAAAAGGATATAAATCATGTCTACAGTGATACCTCAGCTATGTTAAGAAAAAGTCACACAGGAAAAGAGACTGAGAAGCAAGGTGCCAAGATACTAGCAGTGCTTCCCTCTGGGTGGTAGGACTGTTGGTGATTATTACTTGGCTCTTTCTATTTCTCAGTATCTTCCAAATGTTCTACAATGAGGGCACATTGCTTTTATTATCAGAAAAAATAATAATAATATGCTTTAAAAAAGGGGGGACACTTAGTTCTCTGAATACCCCAAGCTTGCCTGAGTCTGCCACTCACTCAGTTCCCTGACTTCCAAACATTCAATTCAACAGACAAGACGGACCCACGGACCAAGGGCAGAGCTTTCAAAGACAGTGGAGAGCCCTAGCCGGGCAGGGGCCTGCGCAGAGGGGCAGACTCGCTGCAGGTCTGGATAGTCTGACACTGGAGTCACTACCAGGCGAGAGCGAAATGAACCAGGAGGTGCCTGGTCCCTCAGTTCCACAGCTAACTGCCAGTCCCCAGTGCAGGGATAACAAGAAGGTGGCAGCTCTCCAAAATTCTTGCTTAAAAAAGATTTTTGATAAGATGAGCAGTAAGATTTACGGTGTTCTTTTAGCGTTCCCTAGAGCTCTCCTGACAGAACAGTCAGGAAAATACAATCTCTGTTAAGTTCGAGGAGCATGAGGGAGGAAGCCCAAGACCAAGCAGGCTTCTACAGGAGAAGAGTGGAAGGCAGGTCCCGGGGCACAGGTGTTAGCAGGAGCCTCTGAGGCTGCATCCTCTGCAATGACCTCCCAACCCTCTTCCCTGCCCACTGCTCCCTCCTCGGTGAGTATAACTCCCTGCTCAGGAGGCTGTTTTAACTTGCCTGCCTCCTTCTCCACTCCCTCCCTAGACAGCTAAGCTCATCAATCATTAGACAAGGGTTTACTTGAGGACCTACTGTGTGCTGGGCCTGGAGAGAGCAAAGCAGGCATAGCCTCCTGATATGTGTAGCCTGGTGAGACAAGGATTCAGTTGGCACACAGTAGGTTCTCAGAAAAAATTGGGCAACCTGGTCAGGTGATAAAGTAAATGTTGTTAGGTTGTTAGGTGCCATCAAGTCAATTCCAACTCATAGTGACCCCATGTGACAGAGCAGAACTGCCCCATAGGGTTTTCTTGACTGTAATCTTTACGGAAGCAGATCACCAGGTCTTTCTCCCGCAGAGCCACTGGGTGGGTTCAAACCGCCAACTTTTCAGTTAGCCAAGTGCTTAACCATTGCGCCACTAGGCCTCCAGACATAGTAACCACCAGTCCAAAGAAAGCATAACATTCACGGACACCATTTCTGCAGTCACCTTATTCATCTGACCTGAAAGCCTATGCTAGAGTTAGGGACAGAATGGTGAACATGGAAATAATACAGATTTTGGAATCAGGCAGAACTGGGATTTAAGTCACATTTCTGCCCCGGTCGGCTGAGTGTCCAAGGACAGTCACTTCCCCTCTTGAAGCAGCATGCATGAAATGGGGAGAAAAACAAGACCTCCCTCTCAGGGTTATATGGATTAAATGAGATAAGGCACATCAAGCATGAAGCCCAGAGCCTCTGCACACAGTAGGAGCTCAATAAATGGCAGAGCCCATTCCTCTCGATTCCCTGGAGTGTCTGCATCGGGAAGGAAAACCGTGGTGTACGAAAGCACTGTCCAAGGAATGCGAAAAGAAAGTGGGTGAGAGAATGAAAAAAAAAAAAATGTGCAGAGCATCATTTGTATTCTTTATCACAGGCGATAGTAGAATTCTCCTGGTCAGTTCTATAAATAGGCAAGCAGCAACCTTGAGAACAGAGAGGCAGTTAACGCTTTTGATGAGAACACCACAGAGAGCTAGCGCTGGAGAGGGCCGAGAGGTCACTGAGTCTCCCACATGCCGCCACCCCAATATTCTACAGAAGGGGACTGTGCAAACCTGAGATGAGAGGGACAGGTAAAATGCAAGTCTGAGAAGCCCAGCCCAGACACAGGAGATGCAACCTGGACCAGCCCCTTCCCCTCTCTGCACCTGTTTCTCCATCTTGAGAGTGTGGGACCAGAATATCTAATGACCACTCAAGCTTAGGGCTGTACTGGGACCTCTGATACTGGCTCTTCTTCGGGAAATAAATGTGGGTTTTCCTTGGATCTTGGAGAGCAAGAATATTATCATCCTCTGCAGCCTTCTTTGTTATTATTCTGGCAAAACTAAAGAAAAACACAGTTCCTGAGATAGCACTTTCAACCTCTAAGCAGGCTCTCAGGATGATTTGGGTGCAGTGGTCATTAGAATCCTGTAGAAATGGCTCCCTTCACTGCTCTTTGATTTAACTAAAATGTGTGTGTGTGTGTGTGTGTGTGTATGGGGGAGGAGGAAAGGAGAAGAGGTTGGTCCAAGGAGTCGGTGTCTACATTCTTCTTGCCTCTTGCCTTCATTTTTACAAACAAAGGCTTGCTTATTTTAAAGGGTAGTATTAACTGGACAGTTAATTCCAAAGAAAGCTGGCTAGTGAGTCCTCCCCATTAAGTGTTCCCCCTAGACTATCACACTCAAGGCCATGACCTTGAGCCCAGGCCAATCATCTACATAAGCACTAGCAGACTCTCAGCATGCAGCTGCCAGCAGCAGGGCAAACTAGGAAGACCTCAGGCCTGGGGGACAGAGACCCAGGCATGTCCCCGCTGTGCCACCAGCATGCTGGGTGACCTGGGGCTACTTCTCCCCCTTGCTGGACATTGTTTTTGCCATCTGGCAAGAGCAGGTTGGACTTACTGATTGTTAAGGTCCTGGCCTAAGTTAAACTGTCTCTGGTTTGCGGCCGCATTTAGAAGGAAAAGCTGTATTTACTTGCCCAGTATTCACAGGTCACAGCAGTGGAGCTTGGGGATATGCCGGGATAGACTGCAGGCAGGCACCGACACCTGGGCGTGGCAAACCATCCTGTCTTCCCCATTCAAGGAGTGAGTGCTCAGGATGTGCCAGGATTGTCACCAGCTCATTGAACCTAGGGGCTCTGAGATTCCATGTCAGTGGGGAGGGGCCAAGAGGGTTTAAGAAAACGCAAGAAGGGCAGATGGAGCGTCTCAGGTAGGCAGAATCCACACCCCAACCAGGATCTATCATCAGCAGTAGAGACCATGCAAGGGATCGGAGGGCCAGGGATGCCCCTCCAGTGGGACTGCCACTGTGTAAACAGCTACCTCCAACACCTATGTTAAAGCAAACTGCATGCTCTGTGCATGCTGGCGACTTTCTATCAACAACGTCCCTCTCCCACTGTGACAACCCTACAGGATCAGCCAATCTGCTCAATCAGTGACTTACTAGCTGCGCCACTTCATACAGGTTACCAAACTTCTCTGTTCATCAGTTTCCTCTCTTGCAAAATGAAGATCACAATTCTACTCTCTCTTTAAGTAGACGAGCCCTTTTAGCACAGCGCCTGTTGCTTAAGAATTCAGTTAA